CACACACACACACACACTCTAGCAGAAATTCTACAGTCTGTGTATCTGAGTGTGTACATCTCAGAGAAGCAAGCTCACGTCACAGTCAGTTTTGTCCATGTTTCTGTCTGTCGTTTACAGAAGCTGAAGGTGCTGTTTGCAGTGGGGAGTGACGGAGAGGTCAGTGAGCCTCTGGAGGTCAACGCCTTGAGCTGTGACACAGTAGAGCAGGTCAAAGAGAAAATCCTTTCCACCTTCAAGGCCAAGTTTGGATTCCCCTACAACACCCTGCTCAGGGACATATGTATCGGTGAGTAACAGACCAGTGTCTTAAGTCCTGTGTCTTTGAATACATTACACGGAAGATTAAAACCAACAATGACTTTTCCAGATTAAGTCTTGTCTATCGCCGTGTTTCCATATTTTTTAACTGGAGAAGTATTGCATTAGAAGAGGTCGGTGGAAACAGCAAGTTCCAGAAAAAACTTCCCCAATTTCTCAAAAAAATAAGTGCTTAATGGGAGATGGAAAGCCTTTTTCCAAATAAGTTCTGACGTAGCAAACACACAACTCACATGACTGATCAGCTGTTTTCGCTCTGACAGTCTCCTCACAGCTCCTGTGGCTCTCTAATACATCCACAATCGCTCCACGCAGATCTGATGTAGCTTTCCTCACAATAATACATGAAAAAATAGAAATGTCATATTTCACTCGTTTTCTGCATTTCTTTTCACCATTCGACTGATGCTCTTTTCACAGTGCTTATGTAGCTAAAAACACATCAGTTGAGTGCGGGCCTCACACTATTGCACTGGGTGACCTTTTCCTTTATTGTGCAATGTTTAAGACACAGTTCCACATGCACGGCTCATGTGTTGAATCAAATGTGTACTACCAACAAATGTACGGTTTCCTCCTGTTTGAGTAAGATTCATTACAAACTACAGCCCAGCTGTTTAGGAAAATTACTGAGCCTCTTATAAAAAACAGACTATATATTTGTTTAACCACAATTTTTTCCTTTTTCCCACCAGAGTATGAGAAGAATGGATCATTTTTTCCTCTCGAGGAAGTGGATGCGAGCTCAGAGGTCATTGGGGAGGTGACAATGCTCAACACACTTAAGCACTACAAGGTGAGAAGTGAGAGTATTCTCAATTTATATATATACATATGTTCTCATGCAGAAAGTTTCTGTTTGGGTTGTGTTTTTGTGGGGACCAACTGTGTGTTGGATAGAAGATGTTGCTGAGCTGTAACCAGCTTAGGTGTGACAAAAACAGAAACATGCCCACTAAAACACTGCATTTCAAAACAGCAACTGTCAACATGAGAGCAGGGAGGCAGAGTTGAGCCTGTGACAGTTTGCAGAACTTCCCTCTTCTCACTATTCAGTGTTATCATATTCTATGGTTATATAAATAATAACTATAAAAATGATATAAACCTTGCATGACAGCTTGACAAAAGCTGGATTCAAAATGTGAAAAATCGACAATTAAGATCTAACAGGAAAAGGCAACATTGTTTCACATGCTAAAAGACGCAAATAGGAGTGAGAAGTTGCTGCTTTAAATTTAAGAACATCTATAAGGTGATAGAGCACATAGTGCTCTGTGAAGTGTTATACCAAAATAACCAAAGGCGGTAAGTTTTCACTGTGCTGAACACTTTCATACTGTTCGAGGGAATTTAGACTCATTGTTTCCTGTCGGCAACAACAGAATTGAATTTGGACCGAGTCAGTCTCTCAGTGAGAAGAGATGGGAAAGTCTTTTCCACCTCATTTTGTCATTAAAGCTGACAAGAAGAATTTTTATATGGATGAAAACATACTGGAGGAAGAGTGCTTTGTAATGGCTTCATAATAGGATCATTGTCTTATTGCGATACGTGTCTACCATCTATCAGACTTTTGTATCATGGCATGGTGGCCTGGACTGTGTCGGCCATATTGCACCACATGATTAATCTAGCAAGGGACAATACATAAGTGTTGCCGTCTGAGGATATCCTTGTAACACTCAATACTGGGGAACTGTCTATTTTAGCTACAGTACAATTGAGCAAATATAAAGTAAAGAAGTTTTCTGAAGTTTTCTGAAGTTCCTGAAACCATCAACATTCACACCTTTCTTCAATATAGACCTGAGTATCTGGGGGATTTCTGTGGTTGACTGTGGTTTCCTTTTACACACACAAATTATAAAAACAAAACACAGGGAAAGGTAAAATTGAAAGCATGTCTGATGTAAATGGCAGATTTTATTGCTATACCTACAGTGTATATAGCCACTAGAAATGTAGTAATGTTATTACCAAATGGTACATTAACATTTTGATCCTTCTTTGTGTTGGTCTGTTTGTACTGCTGTAGGTTCCAGATGGAGCCACAATCAAAGTGCTTTCTAAGAAAACCCATCCTCCTCTGAGCCCACAGGGGAGTCTGAAGGGTAAGAGCTGAGAGGGAAAACACTGCTGAACACTCGAAGGAATAGTTATGTGAATTATGTGAAACAAGAATTGGATGAGAAGATCAATACAACTCTCATGTCTGTGCGCTAATTACGGAGAGGGGATTAGCTTAGCATAAAGACTGGAAGCAGGTACAAACCGCTAGCACGGCTCAGTCCAAAGTTCAGAAATATGCTGCACTTCTGAGGCTTAGTAAAGTTTATCTTCTTATCTTATTGATTAAACCAAGTCAATACGGTACTATTCATTGAAAATTAAAAATCAAAAGACTGCAGAGTTTACCATCTATTACACAGATACATCTCTAAGCATCAAATGGGTCTAATCAGCATCTGGTACACTTTGTAAGAGCCATTAAAACTGTTGACTATGAGTCCATTCTTGACCTTGGCATCAGCTCAAGGTCCTCTTACTGGCTTTGTCTGAGCTTCCACCACTTCTCACAATCTTAATCAGCAAATGGAACTGGAGTTATCATTGTGTGTCTAAACAGTGCGCCCACATGATTATTTTGTAACAATGTTGATTGGGTTGTTTTTTCACAAAACGAAAATATAGCATAGTGGACAGCATGCAAGCTGTAAAGTGTAACGCATCGTATTGAGCCACAATTAGAACCCGACTTTCACATGTTGCTGTTGAGTGTATTTCCTCCTCCCTGCACTGTGGCCTCTTTGTTACTTTGATGGCCACACTCATATGACACTAACAAACACTAAAATGTACAAATATTTGCATATTGCAAAGGTTGCACGTCACACCTTTTAATAAATATGTAGACAACCAACCAAAATGGTAAATGGTACAAAAGGGAGCTAATTATTTAGCCAATGATCACTGTTCATTTCTGTTCATTGTTTCCTTTTAGATGATGAAAACTTCTCTGGAAAATATTTCCACTTGGTAAGGAGTTTGTGCTTTATGTTTTTATGGTGAATCATTAATCAACTTATAAGACAGGAACATTTTAACCACTACACACTTTCATGCGTGTCGCTGAATATTGTAACATAATTGAGGTTGGCTCATTTAATTGTTCTTTTTCTGCAGATTGATCCTGATGTAGACGAGGACCAAAGAAAGAACCCAGAGAGGAAGAAGTTAAAACTGAAGGAAGTGTACCTCACCAAGCTGCTCTCCACCAAGGCAAGAGGAACCAGTCAGCCTCATTTTACTTAACCATGCACCAAACACTAGCAGAACTGATACCAGTCTCTGGCATGGTTATTTTTTACCACCACCAGTGTTGACGTTGTAGAGGAAGCACAACATTTGTGTTACTCCCACTATATCTACACAGGATGCATTCAGGCACATTGATTATAACTGAAGCAGAAAAATACACCTTTGATCGCATTTAAGCATTTTGGTTTGGTTTTAAACTTGAAATATGTCTGTTGCTGTTCTCTCCCATCATCTGCTTTAACGTTAGTCATTTCCCATCATTAACTATGAGGGACAGCAAACTATCACATTACCTCATTCTTTCTCTTCAAGGTGGCAGTGCATTCATACGTGGAGAACCTGTTCAGATCTATCTGGGGGATGCCACAGTGCAGAGCCACGCACGCTGTCAAATACTTCTTCGACTTCCTGGACACTCAGGCGGACAACATGAAGATCACCGACCCAGACGTGCTGCACATCTGGAAGACCAACAGGTATGGCTGGGTCAGCGAAAACCCTGTAGACAGGAGGACAAGCCTTGATAAAATAAAGTCAGAACAAATAAGATGGCATATATGACCTTGAATCAGTTTAAATCTTAAAGGCTATATATGCTGGAAGTCATACTGAAGCATCTCAGACCAAAACAATGGGACAGAAACTAAATAAAACTCACCAAAACCGTCTTTGTTAGCATTTCCACAGTCTATCCAAGAATCACCAACTCCGGGTTGGTCGAAATAAATCCTTAATTAACCAGGATATATGAGAAAAAAACTGCAGTTTCAGTTGCTTTACTCAGCTGCACGCAGAGACCGGCTTTATAAACAAACCACAGCGAGGCTGCGATAGCAACACAGGCAAAGGGAGTATGACATCATTCTCAGCTCAGGACACCATGACTCTGCTATATCTTTACATAGCAAATAGTTGTTTGCTGCTATATTAATGTTTTAAATCTCGTATACAGAACCTTCAGTAAGCAGTTTTTCTTCCCTGTCGTCCTGTCAGTTTGCCCCTGCGCTTCTGGGTCAACATCCTGAAAAATCCCCAGTTTGTGTTCGACATGGAGAAGACTCCAAATTTGGATGGCTGCCTGTCTGTCATCGCCCAGGCCTTCATGGACTCCTTTTCTCTTAGTGAGACCCAACTGGGGAAGGTAACGTGTAAATTTATTATTACAGTAAATACAGGAAGTCCTGTTTTCTTTTCTTTGTTGAGACAGTAGGCAGAGATGGATTCAACGGTGGGCCGACTGACTCTAATATGAAAGTTTTGTTTTGCACCTATGAATCCGTGAGCTTGATTCACACTATACCTTGAATATTATTGTGTCCCAGCATGCACCAACCAACAAGCTCCTCTATGCCAAAGACATTCCCAAGTTCAAACAGGAAGTGAAGATTTACTACAAGCAGATCAGAGACCAGTCACGCATTACAACCTCAGAGTTCAATGACTTTCTGCAGGAGGAGTCGAAGGTAACGTCCATTTCACTACAAAATCTTATAGAAGTGGCGTGGTAAAGACCAGCAGTGAATGGATGACTGTTTGTTTTCAGAAACATGAAAACGAGTTCAACGAAGCCGGAGCCCTCAGAGAGCTCTACAGATTCATCCAACGATACTTCACAGAGGTTAGACACATTTCCTTCTTCCTACGTGGTACTGGTGTGTTTACATGTTAAGTTCCAAATGACTTTGGATTTTTAATAGGGATGCACGATAATTATCAGTTGGTAATGGGACATTTATGTTATGTATTGTTCCAATAATTAAATAATAAATACATGGTCAGTTTATAATAATTTAATTTGAATTCTTATGCAAAAATATGTTTGTTTGATTTATTGTCAGTTATTTGAAGAGTCAGAGCTGCGATCGTCAATCTTTGTTCACTACATCTCAGCTTTTCTCACCATGAAGTTTGTAAAAAATACAGGTTATGCACTTCTTTTGAAAATACAAAAATTTGAAATGATCTGCTCTTATTGGGATCGGCCACCAGAAGCAATTACTGGTCATCGTATCAGCTGAATAAATCTCCATATCGTACATGCCTACTTTTTAATGAGGAATGAAAGGCTTAGATGATACTAATATGAACAGTGATGCTGCTTCATTTATTATTGCTGCTTCCATCCAGCTTTTCTTTTTAAATAATTTGCAAGGAAACATGGCTGTGTTCCCCTGTTCCATATTAACTTTTGAAAAGAAAATCAAATGTCCTACATGAATTAACCGTCTTGAACCTTTAAATTAAATGAGTTCACCTATGTAACAGCTGTAGAACAAGCTATTTAAAAAATATCTATTTGCAGCAGAGAGGTGAAACGTTACAGCTGATAAGAAATCAGGTCTGCTTCGTGCAGGACAACAAAACCTTTTTTGGTATTTCACACAACCTCATGCAGACGAGTACAAGCTTCTTATTAGAGTAGCTGTCTTTAGGCTGTGAAGGATGTGTGAATCGTTCATCATATCTAAATATACATATACAGAAAAGTGGAGTAGATTTAAAAAAAGTAGATTTGGTAATAAAATATTAGAAGTGTGTTTATGCATGCTGGTGGTTTTTGCTTCTTGAGCACAGCTGGTCATAACTTACCCTCGTTTTATTTGCTGTCTGCCCCGGACTCAGATGCATCTGAGCGGTTGACAGTGGCAGCCAAGAGTGACTTCAATTGCGAAATCAAGTCACATGAGACAGTGTGTGTGTGTGTGTGTGTTTGTAGAGGAAATGAGAGTTCGAAACTTCTGATTTCCCTTTGCTTCGTTTATCAGGCGGTTGTTTCCTGTTCTCGTGTGCAAAACTCTTTATGAGCAAAACAGTGAGGTTTTTATGATGTTCAATAGAAAAGGCTGCATTCTTGAATCCAGTATCACTAATGAGTCTTAAACTGAGTCATACAGAGAATTTAAGAGCTCTGAGCTCAGAGAATACCACTAGTTGTTTTACAAACTGAAACATTTTGTAGTAAAAAGCTCTTTAAGCTGCATGTGTACTCCAGCCTGACGTAGAGGCTCGGTGACTGATATTTAAAGGTGTGTGGAATATATCTCACACCATCGATTGATACATTTTAAATTGATTATGGGGGTCTAATGTCTTACAATACTTTTTGTGTTTTCTACAGATCCAAGAGAAGCTGGACCAAAATGGAGCCCCTACTGAGCTGACGGAGCAACTACATCATGTTAAAAACTTGTTTGATGGACTAAAGAGCTGCTCCTGGAACTGAGCCGCCATCCTTTCACTCATGTATCTATGAACGACACTGTGAGAGGAAGACTCTTCTGATCCTGTCAGGAGAGGACCAAGGGGACTTTTGTCCTGCATGTATCATCCTGTTACTGAAAAAACAGTCTCAGAGGAGCTGAAAGGAGGTGCCAACCATGGCAGTAATTCATGAGTCAATGGGGAGTTGTGCGTCTTCTGTTGGAAACTTTTGGCATTAAACTGGTGAACTCCCAGAGACACTGAAGCGAGGCACATATCACCCGTTAGTATCTTTCCTAAAAGGACACTTTTACCATTTGTCTCTCTATCTGCTGATCTGTCTTTTGTCTGATGGACTTTCATACTGCAGTTTCACAGTGAAAAGCAACTACTTCATTAACTTACACTTATTTGTTACCACACAAAATACACACACAGACACAAATTAAAAACCACAGATAGAAAAAGGCTCATTTTAAATCATTGTTTAAATACAGTTCAGGTAAAACTTGTTCAAGTCTGTATAAACATTGTGCAAATCACAGCCTGCCATGTCTCAAACCTTTGTATCCGTATAAAAACTTTTTTTCCCAGAGTTTAAGAGCAAATGTGTGTAAACAAACCTCTCAATACAGTATCAGACCCTGAGGATGTCACGGTCAACTTTTTAAAAAAGGTGCTGCGGCATTTCAAATTACCCAGCATTACAACATTAGAGAGACACTGATCAAATCCAATCTCATATCTCTTTCAGGAAAAACACCAATAAATAATGCTAAAAACACTGAAGTCCTTGATGTGACACACACGATGACATCCACTCTGTATTTCAGAGTGTGGTCAGTTCAGTGGGAAGTAGTGGGGGTGTCAGAGGTCAGGCTGGTCCCGGTCCCTCTGCACCAGAGATCCCAGCTCCTCCAGCTGCTGCTGCTGGGCGCTTTCCAGGTCCTCCAGCCTCCGACGCAGCAGAGACAGCTCCCTCTGATGCTGCTCCTCCTGCAGCACGGAGGGAAAAACAAGCCGATGTTACGACAGCCTTAGACTACATTGATACACACACACCCTGCTTTCTATTCATTCACACCTCAGTGAATTAACGTCAACCTTTGGTTACTTGTTGGTTTTTCTGTGGTAAAGCTGCTCAGCCTCTCCAGATTGCTCAAACATGCAGTGTGTGGGGATTTTTCACAATGGTTTACCAATCAACCTCAGTCATGTGGGTTTAATTGTATGAACTGAAGCAGATATTTGTTCATTAGTATGTTCAGAAGCTCTGCACTGCACACAACACCTTACACTGCTGCTCCAGTTAGTGCTCTGACATTTTAAGGGATGCCTTCTAACCACCCACAGTAGAGGTGTGACCTTATTGCATTCAACTGTCTCGCTGTGCATGTGTGGGTCTGCGTAGAGAGGGGTGAGAGATTTCATTTCCTCAGAACACAAGCTGTGTTTTGCTGCATTCTGGTCTATTTCCTGTTTCTGTTCTTCTCTTATGATGGATTTTTACCTATCACTGTTTTTTTTAACTACACGGTATCATCCATCTACAACACAGACTGATGCAAAACGCTCACTGCTAGTTCAACTCACCGGTATGTTAGATAGCGGTCCCTCAGACCCCAGGAGGAGGAAGGGCGTGGGTGAGGAAGTCAGGAAGGCGGGGCCGGCACTGTAGGGACCCTGGCCGCCTAACAGGAGGCGTCGAAACTCGTTGTGTCGTCGCTGCAGCTCCTTCAACCGTCTGTTCAGTTGAGCTTGCTCCTCTGAGAAAGACGACCGTCTGAACAGAGACAAAAAAATATGTCAGTGGCTCCCTCGTAGCTTCCTAACTCGTCTTGTACGGTTAATGTCCAACATTATCAGGCCAAAAAGACCCACTTTGTGAGCAACTAAAATTTCAGGTTTGTTGATTTTTTCACATGAGGCCTATCATGTGAAAGAGCTAGGGCAACATGTTACTCAGGGGAAAAAAGCTTTGACCAGTGTGAGAGAGCAGCTCCTGGCAGGAGAACTATTATTTCATTCAGAAAATGAGAGATTTGCAGTTTACTTCTTCGCTGCAGCAGCTTCCAGTTCCAGCTCCTCTATCTTGGCCTCCAGCAGCTGGATCTTGTCCCCTTGTCTCTTTTCTTTGTTCTCTGTCAGCGTTTTCCTCTGTACAACACACACACACACACAGACATATTGAAGAAGTCTCTCTTTAAGAACATGTAAATGTAATGCTAAAAATGAAGCATGAATGGGAAGCAAAGAGACACCAAAATATAATTACTGGCTCAACTGTGAACTCCCACAGACAGAATGCAGATTGTACTGACCCTGTTCTGAAAACATGCATGTGAAGTATTGTGATGCATTTTTACAAACTGAGGAATTTAAAGACATTTTAGGGAGCGGCAGTACCTTCTTCTGAGCCACCGCTGCCCTCTGCAGTTTCTCTTTGACCTGAGTGTATTTCTGCTGCAGCTCAGCTTCTCGCTCCTGCAGCTTGTGTTTCTCCTCCAGCCACTCCACCCGCCGGTCCTCCACCAGCCTGCAGGAGGAACAACACATGGAAAGAGAAGAGTGTTTTCATTGAGAGTGCTTTTTAAGAATAGCTGGTTTATGTGAAGACAGAGCAGTGGACGTACCTCTCTGCCTCGTGTTGGCTCCTCTCAGCCTGGGCTCGGGCCGTCCTCAGCTCCTCCCTCATTCTGTCCAGTGTTTCTTTCAGTCGCTGGTTTGTCTCCATCAGCTCACTTTCAGAGTGAGACAGTGTCCCCAGCTGGACGCCCAGTTCCTGGTTCTGCTGTTGGGTGAAACAAATCCTATTTATTTCAGGCACTCCCCATGGATGGTTTTGATTGAGGGAGTTGATTGACTTACCTGCTGTAGGTCAGCGACCTCTGCTTTCTGTCTCTCCAGCTCCTCGAGCTGGGAGCTTTGCTGCTGTAGTTTGGTTCTGTAAGATACAAAATAATTCCATTAATGATTTGTGATGATTAATGCTGGTTTTCCTTAAAGCATATAGAGATTAAATGACATGCCATCACAAAGAAAAGCTCTTTTCCTTGCCTTTCATTTTATTTCTCCTTTTGTCTTGCATAAATGGGGAGCATACACACATAACTGTGCCGTCATTGTCGCTAAATAAAAAGTCTAATATTGACCCTATTTATTTCGAGCAATTGACCACAAAATGGGTTTAAGTATGGAAGCATGAACTGAAAGACAATGTGACATCATAATAATGACGATGTCTGGTCATATGCAATGCATAATCTCATTTCCTGTTCGCCTGTTGTAAATTTAGTAAAAACCTGAACCTCAGGTTCTGCAGCTCCCTACGGGCTGACTCCTCTCCATGTTGGGTGCTACGAAGACGCTCTTCCCATTCCTCCTTCTGAGCAAGGTCTGTAGCGTCCTGCAGTGCCCTCTGCTGTTCCAGTGCAGCTATATGGTTCTCCAATTCCAACCTAACAACATAAAGCAACAGAAAAACCTCTCAAATTAAAGTGTACACCAGCTGGGAAAACAATGAGAAACACAGAGATTAGCTGCACAGACGTATCAGAAATGAGGCTTTTAGGCGATTCTTACTTTTCCTCGTGCAAGGTGGCAGTTTTGCGGAATTCCTCCTCACGGGCAGACTGCACCTTCCTGACCACCTCCCTCTCTTTCTCCATCAGAACTTCCTTGTGTCGCTCCACCGCAGCCTTCAGCACCTCCACGTCCGCCTGCAGACCTGAGACACACGAGGGGTTAAACAGGTTGATACACACTGTAAAAGTGTTCTTCTTAGAGGCACATGATGCTTATAATCTGTGAAGGTTTGGACCAGTTGATAAATGTTCGTATTACTTCTTATTTCTTAATTGATCTTGGGAAACAAACCAATGGATGTGGACGGGGAGGACTGCATACAAAAGGAGGTTTGAGAGAAAAAAAGAAATATAGAGCAAGTATGAGTGTGTGTGTGTGTGTGTGTGTGTGTGTGTGTGTGCGTGTGTGCAAGATCCATACCGTCAATCTGCCCCTGCAGTGTGTCTCTCTCCCTCTCCAACTCCCCTTTAGAGCGGGTACACTCCAGTTTGATGCTGGCCACCTCCAGTTTGTGTGAATGCTTCAGGCTTTCAATCTGAGAACCAGAAAAACACAAACACATGTGTGGGTACTGAGAAATGATCTCTAAACACTGAACCAGGTCTGACTGGATTGTAGCCACAAGTTTATTACCATGAAACGGATCTAAACAGTTAAGACCAAAAAAAAAAAAAAAACACAAAAAACCTTTCACTTAATCTGGCATGGAAGCCCAGACAGTGCTCTGTAGTGACTTGTATAATGACACTACAATTTTAAAAAGGTCAGAGGTCAGAGAGCAGTGTACCTGGCAGCTGAGGGAGTTGACCTCTCTCTCAGCTTTGTGCAGACGTCCTGTGAGCTGGCTGTTCTGCTCGTGGCTCAGATGAAGCTCGCTATCCATCCGTTCCAGCTGCAGGCGCAACGACTGACGCTCCGCCTGTCACACCAACAACCAATCAGATCCAACAATCACCAAAAACAAAAACAAGATGAGTCCAGTAAGGTGACAACAGGAGTGCTGCTGGCTCACCTCTAGAGACTTCACCGCAGCCTGAGACTCCGTTAGCTGTCTGATCTGGATGCGTTGGACGTTCTCGGCCTGTTGGCCCGAGTTCTCTTTCTGGGCGCGAAGTTCAGCCACCTCTGCCTCCAGGCCCTTCAGCCGCAGGTGGAGCTGGGCTTTCTCCCTCAGCAGGGTCTCCACTCGTTTCCCATCACGCAGTGGGTCTGAACCCTGGTACTGAGCCACCAGCTCCTCCTTCTCCTTCTCCAGACGAGAGATCTGACAACAGGAAGTTTAAATTAGCGTCTACTTTTCATTACTAACGACAACTTGATGTCACACTGGAATTCGATTAAAAACAAATAAACGACTGAAATGTCGACCGACCCCACAAACAAACCCACCTCAGCTTCATAGCGGATGCTCCTCTCCTCCAGTATACGAGCGTGTTCTTCTCTCTGGTGGTCAAACTGGGACTTGAGAAAGGTGCAGTCATATCGCAGCTTGTTGTACTCAGACCTGTACTTCTCTGTCTCCTAAAAAGAACCACAAGTACGCAGGTTAGCCCCGAATCATTGAGCGGAGGGAGGGAGCAATCAAGTAGCGAAAATGCAAATGAGCTGCTATCTCCTTGAAAGTCTTTGAAATGATTTTCAAAAGGCCATCAATGCTAATCTCTGGACCGTTGCTATGGACTTAATATTCACAGCTGCCAACGCCAATTTACTGCAGGTAGAATTAAGTAGAAGCCGTTTACAGCTGTTCATTCGTGTACATTTTAACAACAAATTCCATAGTTACATAATCAAATACAGTAAACACTACAAAACATTCTGTTCAGTGTTATTATTTCACTGTTTAGTGTTTTCATATTAACGCTGCATTACATTATATGGCTTCCTGTCAATCATACCGACTCCCACAGCAAGTTTTTCATTATTTATCTTTTATAAGCTAC